ATGAGTGAAAGTACTGGAAAACGACAAAGCGAAATAAACAAGGATACTTACAAGACGAATGTGACCAAACCAAAGACGAAAACATGAAACTCAGAGCTAGATATGTAACGGTAATTTTCACAAACTAGACAACTAACCAAATAAATTACGCGCAACCAATATATATACGATATGCAAATAAATATGACAAGTACAAAACTGGTAACTGACAAAGGACACTAATGGAAGACGAGAAAATAAACACCTAACACGAAACTATGAAACACCAACACTACTAAAAAAATGGTAATACAAATTCTTGCGCCTACATTCCGGCCCCTTAAATACGAAGATCTAAATCCAAGTATTTACCAGCAAAACACTAAAAGGCGCAAACTTTACAGAGCTAATTGAACTTAGACGATTTTTACTTAATGTTCAGACGCCTAACAGAGTCAACAAAGTACTATAAAGTGTCAATTTAAATCTTTCTCCTCAAAGAAAAGTCACGCAATCTTGGTAATCACACGATTAAGGAAAGTCAATGAATTTTTCCTTCCACTTGTTCAATTGATTCCAGAAGACATAGTTTACTGATAGGGCGCTCCAAAGTTGATGTCTTGGTTTTAACCTTGACACGGCGGACAAATCCATATTTGTCAGGAAAAACCTCTGTAATCCGACCAATTGCCCACGCATTCCTTGGCAAAGTTTCGTCAACCACGATAACAGTGTCCCCCACGGCAAAGTTTTTCTTTGGTCGAAACCATTTCTGACGTGATTGCAACAGAGGAAGATATTCTCTCTTCCAGCGACCCCAGAAAACATCAGCCAAATATTGTACTTGCCGCCATCTTCTCCTGGGTATGTGTCGCTCTTTAAGAACAAGCCTGGAGGAAGAGGTGTCTCGCTGCGAAGCAGGAGAAGGTGGTTCGGTGATAGTGGTTCCAAATCCTTTGGATCGTCAGAAACTGTGGTCAGAGGTCTTCCATTGATAATGCTCTCACATTCACACAACAAGGTCTGAAGACTCTCATCATCGAGACTTTGTTCTTTAACCAGGGCACCCAGAACCTTGCGTGTAGATCTAATTAGCCTCTCCCAGACACCACCATGATGTGAGGCTCCGGGTGGGTTAAAAACCCATTTGATGCTTTTCTGCAGAAGGGCGTCATGAATTTTAGCTTGATTCCAGCTGTCAATCATGACACGAAGCTCCCTTTCACCTCCTACGAAATTTGAACCATTGTCGGGCGAATTTCTTTAACTTGACCTCTACGAGCGATAAAACGTCGGAGTGCGTGAATAAAAGAGTCAGTGTCCAGTGAGTGACACACCTCCAGATGAACAGCTCGCAGTGCCAAACAAGTGAAGATTGCACCATAACGTTTGACCATGCTCCTCTTTTGACGAACAAGAAAGGGACCAAAATAATCTATCCCCACGCACGTGAAGGGGGGTTGATCTGGTGTAACTCGAGGCCGAGGCAGATTTGCCATCTTTTGTTCTCCAACGGGACCTTGTCGTCGTTTGCAATCAAAGCAGGATGAAAGCACACTTCTAACAGTAGAGTTGGCACGAATCAACCAGAAACGTTCGCGCCACAGAGCCAGGACATATTCTCTACCAGAATGGCCGCTTTTCTGGTGAAAGTGGTTCACAAGTAGACGAGCTAGACGAGAATCTTTAGGAATGATAATCTGATGCTTAGAGTCGTCTGATAGGGTAGCCCTGCTAAGGCGCCCGCCAACACGAAGAAGACCATCGGTCAAGATCGGATCTAATCTTGCAAGTGCACTTGACCCCTTGACGCATTTACCTCCCTTAACGGCTTCTAATTCTTCTGCAAAGGTGAGATTCTGCTCGAACTTGATAATCTCTTTTCCGGCTTCTTCCAGCTCTGCGTTTGTCACCAATTTCGCTCCAGATGCGTCAGCAGTATCCAAACAATTCTCCTTTGACACTTTTCTCCTCATCACAAATCTTCTCTGGCAGCGAAGACGCAGCGCGATAAACTTCAACAATTTGAACCATGAAGAGAACCGATGGATGATAGAAATGATACTCGAATCTTTACTCGCGTGAACAACAAAATATTTCGTCAGACCATTTAGCCACACACGCCAACGAGATAGATAGTCGCTGGGAATCTCATCACCCCAACCCAAACTCTTTCTACACAGATCCTGAAGGAGCAGTTTTGCCGGAAGGATGAAAGGCGCTGCCATACCGAGAGGATCGTAAACTGAACTCACCACGGAAAGGATACCACGCCTGGTACAAGGTTTCTCCTTAATGTTCACTTTGAAACCAAATGTATCTGTCTCGACAAACCAGGATACACCTAGGGCTCTCTCTGCAGGAAGCACGTCGTTATCAAGATCCAGATCTTTAACACCCTTCGCTCTAGCTTCTACAGGAATGGATTCCAAGACTTCGCGGTCATTGCTGATCCATTTAGTCAAATTGAAACCTCCCCTCAGCATTAGCCGAAGAAGTTCTTCCACATGCTTTATTGCAACAGCCGCTGAAGGTAAGGACTTCAGGCAGTCGTCAACGTAGAAATTCTTCAAGACAGTACTAACCACGTCAGGGGAAAACTCGTGCCTATGATCTTCGGCATTCCGTCGCATGGCAAAGTTAGCACAACTGGGAGACGAAACCGCACCGAACAGATGTACGGTCATCCGATACTCTTCTAATTCCTTGGAGAAGTCACCACGGGGCCACCAAAGGAACCGTAGGAGGTCTCTATCTACTTCTGGGACACGCACCTGATGGAACATAGATTGAACGTCACCCATGACTGCGACTGGCTCCTGACGGAAACGGATCAGCACGCCAACCAGATTATTGGTTAAGTCAGGACCTTGAAACAGCTCATCATTCAGGGAAGTTCCTTGAGAATGGGCTGAGCAATCGAAAACGACACGTATTTTATCCGGTTTCTTATGATGATAAACGCCGTGGTGCGGGATAAACCACACCTTACCATCTGATCTCTCCAGGACATCCAGGGGAACCTTTTCTGCAAAACCGTCACCGATCACCTTCTCAAGACAAGCAACATAGTCCTCGCGAAACTTCACATCTTTAGAGAATTTACGTTTAAGATAGAGGGCACGGCGTTCTGCTTGACTCCGGTTTGCTGGCATCTGCAAGTTGAGGTCCCTTAACGGTAGAGAAACCTGATAATGACCATCTTCACACTGCATAACTGAATCCTCTACAATGTTCATGAACTTTAAGTCATCCCTTGACATGCTTAAACCATCGGAAAGAGTGGCATCTGCAAAATCAGCACATGCTATACACATAGGATGAGTCTCCTTACAGTTAACGAAGAAACTAGAAGATGGGACAAACTTTTGCTTTCTTCCAGTTGGGCCATTGATAACCCAGCCAAGATCAACTCTAGTTGCATATGGACCCCCATCAGAGGCAGGGACAACTTCTCTCGGTTGTAGGGCTTCAGGTACGTTTGCACCAATCAATAGATCCACCTCGGAATCCAATTCTGCTAGGTATACATAGCCTTGAAGGTGCGGCCATCGCTCCACATCCTCTTGTTTCGGGATCTCGTCTTTCACTACAGGCATAGAAGGTCGGGAAAGAACTTCTGGCAAGGAAATGACAACGTTCTCGTCTAGATCAGCCACTTCCAGGTTCGTAACAACGAGACTGTCCACATCGTTGCAGCTATCCATGGTGGTTAGCTTGAGTCTTATTTCCTTGCCGCTGACTCTCAGACGTCTCAACAGGCTAGCCGAGCAAAAGGTGGTGTTAGATCCATTATCCAGCAACGCATAGGTCTCCACGGACCGAGGACTTCCTTTGACTTTGACCTTCACAGCAACAATGGGCAATGCAGTCACGGAACCCTCCATTGTGGTTAGGCCACAAAAGTGATCAGCTCTGTTCTTCTCAGTACTGGACTGGTTGTTCTCGCTCTGAGGTCCATCCTTACCACGGTCGGACGCAACAATAGCTTCTGGTGCACCTACATGCATTACAGTAGCGTGTCTCTTATTACAGTGAATACAGGGCTTCCTTTTGTGACAACTTCTAGACTGATGGCCTCCACCTAAGCACGAAAAGCATAGCCTCTGCTTCATGACAAACTCCTGACGATCTGTAGGAGGTACTGTGGCGAAACTGGAACATTCGGTGAGATTGTGATCTGCATTACAAAACAGACAGTTCTTCTTAGAAGAATGAACTGCACTCAACACATCAGCAGATGAATTGAGAGCAGATTTCGTCTCGGAAATCGTGACGAGGCTTAGCTGTTTTCCACCGGGTCTCTCAGACTTCGATCTCGAACCCCTATCCTTGCTGTTCTTCTTCTCCTTTTCCAAACAAGGAAGCTTGCCAAAAACTGGATTGGACAAGGTGCGAGCTTTCTGTTCAACGAAGAGTGAAATATCATCAATGCAGACATCTCTCGCTTCCGAGTGGAGGATCCGATCAGCGTTGTCCCGCCAACTGGCTTGCAACTTCGGGGGAAGCCTCTCAATAATCTTCCGCATGCTATCCGGACTTTCGAACTTGCTGGAATGGCCGATAGCCTTAAGAGTGTTTGTACAGCTAGAGAGCAAAATGGCAAAGCCTTCTAGGGCGTCTGCATCTTCAGCTTTGATGACTGGACCATTAGTGACTTTATCCACATATGCCATAGCGATTTTGTGCTTCTGTCCAAATTTGCTCTCTAAGAGTTTCTTTGCCTTTACGTACCCATCTTCGGCTTTCATGTAGAGGCAACTTTGTACCAACTCTTGAGCTCTGCCAGCTGTGTGCTGTTCGAGGTAATAGAGTCTCCCAGCGTAATCTAGTTCTCTAGTTTCGATTACGGTCTCGAACGCGCGAATGAAAGCACAGTAATGTAAAGGGTCTCCACTGAACACAGGTACACGTCTCCTGGGCAACAAGTTCCTTTGCTGCTGTTTCACGAACTCTTCCATTACTCAGTTCTGCTGGACGAGAATGCCATAGGCCTGGTCGCTCAGACCTGAGTTGCCAGAGCTTGAACTTGAATCACTCACAGCACCCTTATGATCTTTAACCGGGTTACTTGACTTCACAGACAATTTCTCTTTCTTATCGGCAGGTACAAATGACTCACGTTTTGAACCACCAGTCCTTGACTTTTCAGTGATGGAGGATACGACTGAAACGGGACAACGAGGATTCCTAGAGGCCACGTTGCTAGGCGCGAAATTACCCGCTTCAGCTTGAGCGTAAGCTTCTTCTCTAGCCACCGCTTTAGCGTACTCAGTTTTGAGGTTTAATTCATCTTTCTTCAACTGCAGGTCGTACTCTTGCCTCTTGAGGCGTAGCTCCGATTCCTGAAGCGAATGGCGGTGTTTCAAAGCGTGTGCCTCCGCTCGAAGTTCCGCGATGCGAGCTGCCTCTTTGGCTCTTGCAGCAGATATGGAGCTCGTTTTAGAAAAGTGACTCGTTCTCGATCCACACATGGATGGTCTAGACTTGCTACGAACCTCGGACCCAATTTGAGAAGCGCTGTCGTCAGGCGTTATCAGGTTATCTTGAAGCCTGGCTTCCGTGACACGTAACCAATCATTGACCGTACGGCAGAAAAAATCTAAACTGCTTTCAATGTCGGCGAAATAGAGGTCTGATTCTTGTCTCTGACTTTCCTCAACCAGAGCTACATTATACGCGTCATGAGCCTCGGTAAATCTTCGAAATAGCGACGTGATTTCCGACAGCTTTACTTTCACCGTCTCCAAATTATTTACATCCGTTAAAAGACTATCGATCTCTCGACGCTTGGACGTTAACGAAGACAACACTCCTCCTCTCCGCTTTCTGAGTTCACGAATGCGTTCAAGAGAGATTCCTTCGTGATCCAAAGAGGTATTCGGTTTACGAGCACGTGGACCGTTTTCGGCAGGTTGGCCGTTCTTCCCGGCCGAATAAGACAGGTAGACATCAGAACCGTTGCGAGACATCGACATAAACTTCCAATAAACCAGATTCGTCTTTTACAAAATATAGCCGCAAACGCTAATCACTCGTATTTCAAACTTTATTAGAACAAACTTGACACATTGTTGAATACGGTAACTGAAAATGACAAAATTACAAACACGCGAATGAGCATAAAATAACTTACATCGTATGAGTGAAAGTACTGGAAAACGACAAAGCGAATTAAACAAGGATACTTACAAGACGAATGTGACCAAACCAAAGACGAAAACATGAAACTCAGAGCTAGATATGTAACGGTAATTTTCACAAACTAGACAACTAACCAAATAAATTACGCGCAACCAATATATATACGATATGCAAATAAATATGACAAGTACAAAACTGGTAACTGACAAAGGACACTAATGGAAGACGAGAAAATAAACACCTAACACGAAACTATGAAACACCAACACTAACAAAAAATAATAATAATAATAATAAGTCTTTATTAAGCACTCTAAACAACAAACGTGTTTAGTTACAATGATATGAAATCAGCAAGTATAAAACTAATAAACTAACTAAATTACTAACTGAATAACAAATAAGAGAACAAACATCTATTAATAAAGGTCCTTTTGAAACGTTCAGTTCTGACAAGCGGGAGAATATAATTATGGCGCCTCTTACGTAGCGTATCCATTGTTCGCTCTGGTGGCAAAAGGTCATCTAAAGCTGTTGGAAAATCGCTGTCGGTGATCTTGGCCCACAACTTCTTATCTTTTAGAATGATAATATTTTCAATCGAAAAAAGCTCTTTACAGTAGCCAAGCTTAAAAGCTCTCTTGAACAGCCTGTCTATGCGACTCAGATACTTATGATAATACGCGCAGCCCCATACTTCTACAGCATATGTAAATATAGGTAGAATAAGACTGATAAAGAGAAGATGAAGATGATCCAGCGGCAGTCCATAGAATTTACAAACACGTAAGATGTACAGACGACTACTGGCTTTCGATATAATATTATCAAAATGTAAGTCCCAGTTACACGGATCAGATTGAAAAGTTACACCCAACAACTTCAGACATGGTTTACGCTCTATAGAAACCAGAGGAGCAGGTAAGGCCTTAGTGGATTTGGATTTGCCTCTAAGAAGCATCTCCCACGTTTTCTTGAAGTTTAGTTGCATACGATTAGCAGATGTCCATGCGACGATCGATCGGACCTCCTCAGCTGCTAAATTGCCGTTATTAGCCAGCGATTTTACTGGAATACTTAATGTTAAATCATCAGCATATTTCACAAGTAAATTCTGATTTGGTAGAATGGCCTTAATATCATTGACCATAATAGAAAATAGTATAGGGCCTAAAACTGTCCCCTGAGGGACACCTCTATTGATATTTACATAGTCCGTGACAATGGCATCAACAACAACTCTTTGTTTCCTGTTCTGTAAAAACTAATAATCCAATTGGTCACGTATGGATTTATATCAAGTGTTTTCAACTTAGAGCAGAGGATATCATGAGGGACCGAATCAAAAGCTTTGCTGAAATCAAAAGAGAAGATTCTAACACAATCAAAACCCGACTCAAGCCATTTCAGCCAAGCATATTGACACTTAATTAAGGCCATTGTCGTATTGTGGCCTTTGCGGTATGCAAACTGGTCGAAGCTAATGAAGTTCTTCATATATTGAGATAATTCTTGTCTGTATACAAGACGTTCAAAAACCCTCATTATTACATTAGTCAGCGAAATAGGCCGCAACTGTGTGCAATTTTTAAAGTTGGGCTCTTTAGGCAAGGGAGTTATGTCGGCCAATTTCCAAAGATCAGGCACAATGTGATTTTCCAAAGAACAGTTGAAAATATGGGTAACAACAGGAGCGAGGTCGTACGCAAACTCTTTCCAAAACCAGTACGGGATTCCATCTGGACCAGAGGCAGTTCTTTTTAATTTCAGTAGACTCCTGGTAACACTGGAGACCGTTAAAACAGGCATCTCGCTTGATTCCGGGATAGTGACAGTGTCAATGGGTTTATAAAGGGGATCAGTGTTAATGGAACAGAAAAATTATTGATCTCGCTCGGGGAGATAATTGAGCTTACTTGCGAGTTGGTAGACTTCCTTCCTGTCAGGGAATTGACTGTTGACCACCAAGATTTGGATCCTGCACTATGTTTCTCAAAATTCCTTTAACTGCTCGAACTTGATTATCTCTGATCAACTTGTTGATTTTCTCTTGAAGAGTTTGGATCTCAATCGAAACAGAATTTCCTGACATGTTACTTCGCCGAATCAATTTTCGCCGTTGGTCCAGTAGATGTTTGATTAGAGGAGAAAAGAACGGAGGGTCCCTATTAGACACACGTACTGATATACCCGGAAAACACTCATCAAACATGGTCTTAATCTTGGTACAAAAAAGATTAAGTTTTCCATTCACATCTCCGCATTGATAAACATTGTCCCAGTTATGAAACTTCAACAGTTTATCCATATCCAGTTTATGATCATCACGAACATCTCTGAACATCACAGTTTTCCTTTCAGCCTTAAGTGGGATTCTGGGATGTACCAGGACCACAGAGTGGTCAGATCGAACTAGTCCTTGAGTGACCGATACTTTCCTCCAAAAATGTGGGACGTTAGTGATCAAAACATCCAAAATTTTGTTCTTTCTTGTCGGTGTATTTACCATCTGGAATAAATTTAGTTGTGTAAGAAAATCATTGCTAGATTTCATCGGTAATGTATGTGCGCCAAGATGGCTGCCGCTTACTATCGTCGTTGTTGTTGTTTTTTTAAGCTTTTGTGCTTTGTTACCTTGTTCGTTCAGTATCTTGACAAGCACAATTCAATCTGTTCGCCTCCATCTACCTTTAAAGGCCCTTTTAGCGTCAGTCGAAAGCTATTTTCTGCTTCTCGCTGCGGTCAAGACCTTGCTGTTGCAAGACGCTAAATGGTAATACAAATTCTTGCGCCTACAATAGTAGCAAATGCCATAGGTTCCCTTGGAGAGGAATTTGAGCTCACATTTGTGGGCTCTTCTCCTGGTGAGCACCGTAACATAGAGCAATGGTTTCTCCAGAACACATGCATTAAACGCAAGCAGATAACGATTCGTGGTTATTGCACCGAACAGGATGAACTGAAAGGAATGTTTCACCAATCAGACCTGGTTGCTCTTCCTTCACGTACTGAAGGATTTGGATTAGTTGGCCTTGAGGCCGTTTCTGCTGGTGTTCCAGTTCTTGTCTCAGGTGAATCTGGCATAGCTGAGGCTTTGCAAAAAGTAGAAGGTGGAAAAAAAGTCATTGTTGGATTAGATGAAAGTAAAGATGCATGGGCACGAAGGATCAGAGAGATGTATGAAGAAAGCGCGGAAGAGAGAGAAGCCAATGCTGTGAAGCTTCGTGAGAACTACAGGAAGGTTTACTCTTGGAAAGCAGAATGTGAGAAGTTTAAAGGGCTGATTGAGACAGTAGTGGAAAATGGTATGTTCAATGAGTTTATCTTTGCTTCAATTTTAGGTGCAGGTGATGTTGCTTTAACCTGCTATATGTGGAAATATAGAAACCTTATGTAAAAGACTAAATGCAGGTACATATAGATAGCACAGCAAGATTGTATGATTTATATATTTATAAAGATGTTTTGATATGGTTAAACCAGCAGTACAAGTGCCCTTTCACTCTCTGTTAACTTTTTCCCACTTTCTTCCATCCTTGCAGGCATGAAATTTTTTTGTCATGTTACAAACATTTTGTGTACTGGGTACTATTCAATTGGAAGATTGCTGTGTGATTTCAAGTAACCTCCATTTCACCTTTGTGGGGGGAGGGTACGGCTACATGTAGGTTAGACCTCAGGTTTTGGGAGAAGGAACACTGGTTTAGAAGCCCTCTTATAATGAGGAGCTGCAAGCAGACTATCATCCAATATGTTTGAAGTTTAATCTGATATTAATGGTTTCAAGTGGATTTGAAGTACAATTTTTACTTAGACATTCTGCTCAAAATCAACAGATCAAAAATTAAACATCAAGGTTGATGTGGAACACATGAAACTTGCAGATCATGACACTTACAGTACAGCTTCAGTATCAGCACTGGAGCCAGCAGGATATCAGAAGGCATCCACAGCTTCAGGCACAAAGAGAAAAAGACAATCTGATACAGATTTAGACGATCTCCAACCACTTGAAAAGAAAGTCCTGTGCTTAATTGCAATGAATTACCTTGATACTACACTGCCACAGAGCAGGGATGAACGCAATGAGTTTCAGAAATACTTGCAAGAAATGAAGGTCCTCATTACAGGTGTTTCTGTAGGAAGTTTAGTAATAACAGTAAAGTTTGATTTTCTCAAGAGCTTGGAGAAATTATGGGAACATTACTCATGTAGCCACCTGGATAAGATGGTTCAAGATTGTTTTGTGACTGAAAAGATCTTGAAGGAACTTAACCTGGCAGAACTGAAGCTGAAAACAACAATGGAAGAAGAAGAGTACAAAGCATACAAACTGTACTTTCTTGAGAAGGATGCACTCAGAGGTCAGTTGAAAGAAAGAAAAAGGCTTGGTCCTGTGGAAAAATGTTTTGAAATGATTAAAAACATAACGCATCACTCATTCAACATAGTGCACCATGGGGTTAATGCACATGTAGAGAGAGGTCCAGGTTTTGATCAAGATAGAACCAATTGTCTTATCACTAAACTCGTGCTGACTACGTGTATGTAAGCCATGACAATCTGCAGTGAGAGGGGATTTGTTTTCAAGACATTTCTTATAATAACCTTTCTGTCTGGTTATATTTGTCCTAGGTCCAATTATAAATAAAATAAAATAAGCTATAATATAGATTGGCAAGATTTTTGTTGGAGGAGCTATACAAGAAAATGTTACTCTTATTTGTGTGTGGGGTTTTTATAAAAAATGATTTGAAGTGTGTTTTTTGGTTTTAAATGTCAGTATTGAATGATTACCTCATTATTTGTTTTCTTTTAAATCTGATTTTAGGTGTTTTAACTTCTGGATTCCACTCCACAAGTTCAACTAGCCAAAGTCCACAAAAACAAGAAGAGCTGAAAAAACAGAAACAGAAGACAAAGATTGTTGAGACAGAGAAACTGAAAGGTGAAAACAAAATTAAAAGACATTATGTTGTCGTGAACAGTAATAACAATTTATTATTTGACCAAGCTTTGAAGAATTATCTCAATAATTATCTGAAAGGTGAAAACAAAATTAACCCTCTAAGTCTCAAGATTTCATCAGTAATTCTCCTTACTGTCTGCCATACAGGTCGTGTGACGTTAGTTTGGGGAATTTGGTATTGGATCAACTTATTATCACCTTATTGAAATTTTTTTTTATTCCCGTCACTTGTGTGCTTGATACTGTATAGATATTGTAAGCAGAAATTCTGTCTTGGTCACACATGGAAGTTGAAGGGTTAAAGGAGGTATTAAGTTATCATGGAAAGTTGTTGTGAACAGTGGCAACAATTTTTTATTTGACAAAACTTTGAAGAATTATCTCAATGCAGTAATGTAGCATTAGTATTATTTTAAAGAGTACAACCTATGAGAAACAACATACAGCATATCTGAAGAGAGGCTGTGAATGCTAATCTCCCCCTGTACTTTGCTTCACCCCTCAATTGTTTCTTTCTTAACATATGAAATAAAGGTTCTAACGTGGCCTCTTAAACTTGAAAGAGAGCCAGCCGCAAGCAGGAAATCATCATGTTCACACCCAATTGAAGAAGCGTTTCTTTATTTTCCTTTATCGTGATGTTGCTGTATAGTGTGAGAGTCAGGATTTTGGATGAAGTATTTAAGGGTCTGTTAAAAAGAGAGAAAAAACAAGTGAAATGTCATGCTGGGGGGGAGCAAGAAAATGTCTGCATTTCTGTAATAGAGAGAGTCCATAATAGAGAGTCTATTTCAGTCCTTTTTCTACATGCTTCCCCAGGGGCTAGTGCTTGTCTGCAGTGGGGAGGTGTCTGTAGGGCATGAGTCAACTGTAGATTAATCCAAATTTGGCATTGTCTCATTCTCTACTTAAGCTAAAGGTGGTAATGAGTCCCCATGTGGTAAAAATACATAATGGTTGTTTTCAACAATGTTCATATTGTTATAATGGAGAACTGACATTATTTTACTTTAACATGACTATAATTTGCTGTTTGCATAGGTATACCTGTTGTTATCTTTTCTGTGTAAAGTTAGACACTGAAGTTTGAAAATCTCTGTATACCTTTGCTCCCAGGTTCTTCACCTCCCCCCCTTCTCTCCACCACTGATCTTGAAGAAAAGCTAGGAAAAGTATGTGTGGACATTAAGAGGTTGAGAATGGAAGGTGAATAGAAAAATTCATGTCATCAGTTTTGGGGAGAAACTGATCTAAGAATGCTAATGACTGTCCATAAAGTTTGCTGAAGTTTAGAAATGAGCTAAAATAGTAAAAGGTGAAAACCAAACATTTTGGTCACTAGGTCATCATAATGACCTAGTGTCAAAATGTTTGGTTTTTAATTTTTTAAAATATTTTAGCCATGTAAATAGCTCGATGCCCTTAAATGTTTTTCATATTTTTTCTAGTTATTACTCTCAAGAGTATTCCCTTTATGAGATATGAACCTTTTTCTGTCCTTAGTTTCACCCAAGACTACTGTTTAATGCTCTCGGCTATTAGTTAGTAAGTTTTCTGTCTTTACTTTCATCCAAGAATGCTGTGAAATGCTCTCAGCTGTTATTCTGTGGCTTAGTTTTATTATGGAACATATCTTCTCTTCACTTTTGCCTCTTAATCCATAACTTCAGTCAAAGTTATCATTAAATTGGCTGTGGCATATGATATTGAAGCAATAGTTATAGATAGCTAATTTAACAATGATGTAATGGAAAACTATCACCATTGTTATTTTACTTGACCTCAATACATATTAGTATGCCTTCACTTTTTATATCAGATGAGGCACTAAGTGCTAAACATATTTCTGTGTACCTTTGCTCTCAGATAGTTTTCCTGTCCTTAAATTTTCAACCATTGATCTTAAGAAAAAACTAGAAGAACTGAGCATGAAGCTTCAGAGGCTCAGAAGGGAAGGTGAATATAAAATGTTTGTTGATTCATTATTAGAGAGAAATAAATCCAAGAATGCTGTTAAAGGCTTTAACCCTTGTATCAAATTATCACTTTTCAAGGAAAATTATTTCTTATTTAAAAGAACCTCTTATCTGAGTTTATTACTATTGAAGAATGCTTCCACTTCTTGTTCAAATCATTCATTTTCATGAGAAATTATTCCTTAGTAAAGACAGTCCCTCTTCCTTTATAATTATTAAGTGAGATAGCTATCTAATACTTTCAGTGCTTCACATGACCCCAACATAATGTGCAGTGTTAGTCAAATGTCTGATTTTGACCATTTATGTAAGGTAAGGCACTGAATGCTAAATACAGTGTATCCTTCTGTTTACCTTTCCTTTCAGGTACTTTGCCTCCCCCTGAACTCTTTACTGCTGATCTTGAAGAAGAACTAAAACAACTACGTACGGAACTTATCAGGCAAAGAATGAAAGGTGAGTGTGTATTGACTCCACTGAACAGGGCAAAAGAAATATGAAAGTGATGCACTAGTATTTTAGGCTTGATTTTTAAGTAACAAGCTGAAAAGCGAAACACTTTCTTTTAGTTTTTATATAGAACTCCTAGTTATATTATTTTCTCAAATACCTAAGCCCTGCATGCAACTTCTAAAACATCTGCAACTACACATTTAATAATGTGTATTTACTCTTTATTTAAGAAAACCCCTCCTCATATAATTCTATCAACCAAGTATGGAGTTTAAAAATTCTTTAAACCATTTTGTTGTTTACTTCTTCTCTCAGGTGGAGAACTTAAAAGACAAGGAGAGAAAGGTGAGTAAAACATGTGTATTAGCTCCGTTGAACAAGGCAAAAACAAAATATGGAAAGTGATGCAAGGAGATGGTTGTACAAGTATTTTAGAATTGATTTTTTAAGTAACAAGCTGAAAGGTTTTAGTTTATCATATAGGACTGCAAATTATATAATTTTTTCTCAAATATCTACGCCCTGCTTGCAACTTGCAAAACATTGCTCATTATATGTTGAAGCATTGAATAATGTGTATTTACTCTCTATTCATGGTAACCCCACCTCAAATAATGCTATCAGCCAAGTATGGAGTTTCAAGATTCTTTACACCATTTTGTTGTTTACTTCTTCTCTCAGGTGAAGAACTTAAGACGCAAGGAGAGAAAGGTGAGTGAAACATGCGTATTGGCTCCGTTGAACAGGGCAAAAGAAATATGGAAAGTGATTCAAGGAGATGGTTGCACTAGTATTTTAGGCTTGAGTTTTTACGTATCAAGCTGAAAGGTTTAACACTTTATTTGAGTTTTTTACATAATTCTCCTAATTGCATTATTTTCTCTCAAATATATCAGCCTTGCATGCAACTTGCAAAACATCTGCGCCGCTCATTACATGTTGAAGCATTGTATACTGTCTATTTACTCCATATTTAAGATAACCCCTCCTCTTATATAATGCATTAACCAAGAATGGTGTTTAAAAATTCTATAAACCATATTGCTGTTTCCTTCTTCTCCCAGGTAGTTCACCTCCCCCTGTTTCCACTGCTGAAGTAGAACTACAGGATCTACTCGAGAAACTTCAGAAAGGGAAGATGGAAGGTAAATAAATAATGCACATGTAGAGAGAAAGTAATTTTACCAGAGTGGTATTTAACACGTCATTATCGAAGTATTTTTTCCTTCGGAACTCCTGCACATGCAGCCTTCTACTGCAGTAACTATTAACAATTTCAATGCTCATTGGAGGCCTAAGACATCAGTTACATTACTCCATTGGCACCTAGCACTTAGATGGAGACTGTCTTTACGAGTGGTAAATCCTGGCAACTCAGTCATTAGCTGTTGCACTAGAATATAAAAATAGTGAACAAAAAGGGAAAAAAAGCTGGAAAAAGTGAATTTATTCTGAGTGCGTGTTAAAAATAACTTGCCTCTTAGGATAAGCTCATCCTGGTCTTAAAAACTTTCAAATTTTGCTACAAATGCAAAATTACAGATACTGTTTCATGATACCTGCAGTTTTGTACTGCACGTGTGCAGTACTTGGGATTTGCACGCGCATCAAATGCCTAGTACTGTAGTGAATACTGGATACAAATCTAGCATTTTATTAGAGTGCTTAGGTATTTTATAGTTGTATCCATTTACAACCTGGGTGTGTTAGGGCCCTGCAACCGTCATATTGTGCTCTAATTTAGAACACAATGTACACGTCCAGTTTGTAACTGGAATTTTGTTTGTCGAACGTTGAGGAGCCTTTGAGTAAGCCACCTCAGAGTTACAATAACAACACCACGCTACTAGACGTTATTATCTTTACCATATTGATACTTCAACGGTACAGTCATGAAGCTCTAGTGCATATCCGTGAACTGCAGTACATGTAGGAGGGTCTCAATGGGGCTAACCGTTAACCGTAGGATGGCAGAAAAATTTCGCCGTTAGGAGTAAAAATTGACAAATTTCAACCGCTTGTCTTAAAAGAGACCAACCGAAGATACATTTCTGTTGACTCCTCAACAAAAAGAAGTTAACCGTTAGCCCTAATATGGCCAGAATTTTAACCGTTAGCCGTAAAAGCAATCACCCCACTGAGACCCTCACTTAACTCATAGAACTTTTGAATTAATGTTCCATGTCAGAAATGATCGACAAGACATGTTGGTGGTATTTTTGAATGGTAAATGTAAATTCAACCTTAAACTTGTCCATGATCTGTCACAGTTAATGACAACATTGACGCTTACGTTGTCGTTAAGAGCAGTGCCTTATTTCAATAAATTTTCTGAACTGAGAAGGTGGCCCAAAGTTCTGAAATAGTTTGTCTCTTTTTGTGTCCTTCATGATAGCATTAGAGAACGCCATGTATCCGACCATTAGATCAGGACTGGCGAAGTTTGATGTCAGTTTACCCGAGGAACTCCGGAGCTATGTCGGCTACTTGTTTAAAGAGTCAGCCAAACTTGGCTTACGCAGGCAAGGTACTTAACATTGTTAAAATAAGCTTGTATAAATATGTCCAGTTATCTATATTCTGTCGTAAGATTATTGAGAAATGCTGGGTTTGTGTAATAGTAAAGGGATTTTTTTTTTACCCTGAGTTACTATTTCGTGTTGAGTTTGTTCGCGCTCTAATGCCCGTTCTTAATAAAGAAAAAAATTTTAAATAAACTCCTTTATGAGGGCCGTGCGCAGTTGCGCGAGCAGGGGCATTAAAAGCTGCACGTCTAAGCGTGCAGCCACGCGAGAAGAAAGTAGAATGAGAAGAACGGCGGTCTTGGAATAAAAATCTGATTGACTGAATAAGATCAAGCTGGACCGACATGACCCTTCTACTCAGTCCATAAGTGCATAGAATGCTGATGTTAATGCTGGTCGCTTATGTGGTGTAACTGAAGTACTTTAGGATCGTATTTCCAAGAAAAAAAACGTTTCTTTCAATTTATCAAAACTAATATTTCGTTGTAACGTTTGCAAAGTGAAACCAAATTTTTTTTCTTGTGATTTTGAAAATTTTCTGAAACTTTAAAACCAGATTTGGAAAAAAAAACCAATAACAGCAACATCTCTGACAAGCATTTTGGACCATAGCCTTTTTTTAGATTATCAGTGAGGGTAAAGAATATATTGGAATAAAACTTTATGACAATGATTTACAACTTCGCAAATGATTTGCTAAAATTTTGAGACTTCTTGGAAAAGAAAGAGAAAAAAGGCCTAGCTTAATGTTTTTGGTATCGCACGACATTTGTTATTCATACTGTCCGTCTCCTTGTTTTACGTACTGGTTTCCTTTGACTTGGAATGATTCAAAAATAAGTCGAAACACTAAAACTCAATCCTTTTTGTTTCCAACTTGCGGACTTATTTTTTGTGGTTTGCCAGTTTGAGACAAATGAAATTGTAAAGGCTGTTTTTTTCGATGTATTGTTTTCAATTAAATGATTAATATTTCTTGTGTTTTAATCCTTTAGTACTCCAATCACCTCGTGCCTTGGAGGAATTACGAGAAGCAATGGATAAAGACGAATTGAAGTCATTCCTTATTATTCACATCAGAGAAGGTGCATCGCAAGTCGTGCTGCTGTTTTTGAATGAGCTACCAACACGTAAACTACCGCTGGAATGGTATCCTGGAGTGAGTCATGAGGTGTGGGACGAGGACGAGGACGAGGACGAGGAGATTCGTATACCGTTGTACAGTTCGACGTCAGGCATATTGAAGGCGTGGCCAACAGAGTACGACCCTGGTTTGATAACACTGTGTAAAGCGATCATCAACAGGGACTGGAAAGTAACCAGATTAATCCTCTCCAGCAGTCGGATATCTGATGAAGGTTTCAAGAACTTGAGCACCGCGCTTACTCAGAGTGAACTATACAGCTTGACACTGTATGGCATTGGTTTACAAAGTCAAGGATTAGAACACCTGTGTGAAGCGCTGATTAGTAGTAACTGCCATTTAACCTGCCTAAACGTCAGTTACAACAGGTTAGGAGACGAAGGAATCATGCGCTTGTGTAACGCGCTAACCAGCGTTAACTGTAGATTAACAAGCTTAAACGTCAGTTGCAGTGAGTTGGGCGACAAAGGAATCGTGTTCCTGTGTAATGCACTAACTAGCGTTAACTGTACATTAACCAGCTTAAACGTCAGTGGCAATAGGTTAGGAGGTAAAGGAATCATGCACTTGTGTAACGCGCTAACCAGCGTTTACTGCAGATTAACAAGCTTAAACGTCAGTAACATTCAGTTGGGAGACAACGGATTCAAACACTTGTGTGATGCACTTATTAGCAGTAACTGTGTGTTAACCAAATTGAAAGTCGATTGTAATGGATTAGGAGATGGAGGATTAAAGGAATTGTCTGAAGTTTTAACAAACAGATTCTGTACAATAAGAAGCTTAGAAATATGCAACAACGAATTTGGAGATGAAGGAATAATGCATTTGTGTAAGGCCTTGACTGATACCAAATGCAAACTAAGGAGCTTAGACTTCCACGGAAATTGGAATGTAACAGATGAAGGCGAAGAGTATTTGTCTCAAATGTTAACTGGTACTGATTGGGAAATTAGAGGAGCTTTACGACTTTCCCGTTGAACTACAAAATGGACCAAGTCAGGGCACAGAGCCCTGACAGGTTCCTTCTGTTACGTTTCGCTTGTCATGAAATAAATTCCATCTATGTAGATGACAACTTAACGATTATTGTTCAAGCTGATTAATTAGATAACTGACTTTCTAGTCACTATCACTTGTTAAACAGAGTATTAAAAATAACCAGCAGTGAGGCAGTCGAAACATCGCGATCAAGAATTGAGAAATGACTCGGTATCATGACACAAACGATTGTTAAACGTTCATTATTCAATGGACGAATTTCTCTGTGTTACCAAGTAGACTATAAATGCAACTGCAATTTCGTATAACGGAGATGTTGGCAATAATGTTATAACTTTTGTAACAAAAAGTTTTAACTATAGGCAATTGGTTATAGTAGTGATTTAGCCGTAATAAGATTCCACAAATATTGAATCATATTTTGATAACGTAGTTGATGAATATCGTTGTCTTCTAAAAGAAAACTTTTAAAAAGTCTACATGAACTTGTGACGTGTAAATAAAGTAACAACATATTTTCTCAATTTTTATGGGCTTTCATATTTTTAGTTGGTAGACTCCAAGAGTATAATGTTTAAGCTTAATTGAAATACACTTGAACAAAAAGGAATGTTTTGTTCTGCCTTGCTCGTTTTCAAAGCCAAATATAGGCATTGTACAACCAATTGTATTCTTGTTCAAAGGAGTTTGTTTGGCCTTTGCCTAGTAAGTCATTTACGCATAGCTTGTACTATAACTCGTTTTTTTTTTCATCTTAGCTGATTATTTTATGAAGAGCAGAGTTATGTATTACTCTCAAAATTACATAGTAATGGTAGGAAATTGTTTTACGGGTTACGTAGTCTTAATAATGTATAATCTCTTTTTCAATTTACTGGAATAGTTCAGAATGTAATGTAATCTAATTGATGATGTGTAAGTTATTGTTCCAAAATTCTCAACTCCTAGTAGAAATCATATTTTACATATATATTTTATCTTTTTTAAAGGACTACAATAAACTGTGAAGTCTATTAACCAAGGACATTGAATATGTGCTAGGACTGCATTTGAATTTAAGAAAAATATAGTTATAATTTTTCGATCCTAGCTTTTACGGAATCTAGCTGGCAATAGAGTCTTAATGAAGGGAACACGGGCTAGATCACACGTATCCGTTTTATTTGGGCACGAAGGTTCTTTGTCTGTTTGTATCTTGTCCAGAATAAATTTAAGTAACTCCCTCCCTGATCAAATAGAAGCTAATAGATTCTAGTTCAGGGCTCCTTGTGGGAAACTGTCGTATGAAGTTTCTGTAGGCAGGAACGCTCTTCCATAAAAACAACTGCTTGGACTTAGCTTTGGTCTTCCTTTCAATCTTCTCGCAAATTTACTGACAACAGAAACTGGGGAAACGGACCTGTAGCTCTCCACTTTAATTTTGGCACCTTCCACATAAAGCGGAATAACTCTGAGCTGTGTAAAAAATTAACAAACAAGTAAGCAGCTACATTCCCGGCCTTCGAAATTTTACAAAATTTGAATAAATTATTAAACAAAGAGCGCAGGGGCGAGGCTAGTGATGAGTTACTGCAACACTACAAGATTCTCGGAAAAAATGTCGTCGGGGCTGCAGCTTCTACAGGCATTTAATTCCAACAGGAGATTTTTAACTTCATGCGTTTGATACCTGCGCGAAATTCTTTGTCCTATCAACTTTCAGGAAGTTAGAAAGACTAGTCAAATTTTCCGATACGAAATATTGATTTAAACAATCCGCAATGTTTTTTTTGATCAAACAGAGTATCTTTACCAACTTAGTATCTCATGGTCGTTTGTTCAACTTTAGCTGTCGCCCTCCTTTGCAATCTTGACACTCAGTTGTTTAAGGTAATCTAAAAGCGCCTTGTCGCATGACTTAATTTTTGTTCTATTATTCAAATGTTGGGAACGCGTTGAATGCATTTAAAGTCCTTGCTGAAATAACTAATATATTCTAGCTCAGTATTTTTTTTTTGTTCTTAATTTCTGTTACAGGAAGTTAGACTTAAAACATGTCTTAAAGGATATTATCAGCCAGGACAGGAAACTTGAAACGCTTATCTCAACAGTATATTAAAATTAAAGTTCCTACCTTTGTTAAAGATTCTAATGAGCAACCTTTTATAAAGGTTTTTATTCGATTCACCTCCGTTTCCAAGGGTTTTGCCGACATAAATGAAAGGTTTTGTGCTAGAAACCTCCAGTTAAACAATTTCAAGTAAACAATGACAGTAACTCTTTGGGAAATGCCTGTAAAAGGCCCTTCTAAACCAAGAAGGGTAATTCATTTTTATTGTTACTTTCACTCGTTCTCTAATTCTTCCTTTCAACTTAACGTTATGAACAAAAGAAAAAAATACACAGATCTAGAAATTGTTTCTGTTCTTTGACAGAGCCTACAATTCACAGCCAATAGAGGCTAGGTATTCTCAGTCAAAAAAAGGGAAATGAAGATCAAACGCACATGTCAAGCAAAAAGAACTTCGTCACGCGCTAGACTTATCGCTAAAACTTATTCAGCCCTTCCTCTGAATTTCTAGACCCCTCTCCCTCGAAAAAAAGAAATAAAATTACTGAGTGTTCAAAGTTATTTATTCTCTGGTGTATTTTCAATGTGCTTAGTGTATTCATAACAATCATTTTAGATGACCAAGCTCGAATTTCTGCTGCCCATTACTCGTGATCAGCAAAGTTTTTGCCTGGTAACGTAACGATTGAGTTCTTTGAAAGGTCCTTGAAGTGATGACAACGTGTGATTAGCCATGTCGGTGGCCGGTTATACTAAAACAAAGACACTCATGTCCATCACCCACACTTGGACTTTGCCGATTCTTGCAATCTTAAGTTACCACCATGGAGCAATTCAAGATATTTTCCGTCTTCATTGATAATACAGTAAAGCCTTCCCCTTTCGCACCCACTTCATGTTTTTCTGGTGCAATTTTAATGAATGAATAATACAGGTCGCAATCTTGTATCTTCAGTTTCAAGTTTCGATTGATGTTTAATTGTGGAGAAGAGTGCCAGTGTGCGGCGATAGATTAAGCATCGACCAGCGGGTGTCCATTTTATCCGCTTAGCATGCGTAGGTGAATGGCCGCTGGCTCGCCTCTCAAGTTTTCTTCGTGCCTTCTTCTTTTTGTCACTCATGTATGGGTAAGATAACTTTTTGAACTAGCATATGAATACAATTTCCCGAAAATATTTCGTGAGCAAAAGTATTACTACAGCTCTTTTTTGGCTATGATTTTATTCTTCGCTAGCTGTTTGTTTGTTTTGTTTATTTTTCCAGCTGAAATCCACTCTGTTTACATTGACAACATTATGAAAAAGACATAGTTTGATGCTACACCGGTTTGCAGATTTAATGAATGTAACTGAAGAAGTTACAATTCATAGACCCAACGTTTCGACACTCCTGTCTAGGGTCTTCATCAGGGGTGATCTAAACGCTGCAACAAGAAGTCCTTTTATATGATCACTAATTAGCGGCCTTTTTTCTGACGAGGTGTAAATAGGCGTCAGGAAGCAGACCGCCATCGTCACGATTTAAAGGAGCGTGGGCGGAGTTAATGTGCCAAGCCTCCAAACAAAGGCGTTGGTGGTAACGCCGATTAGTGGTGATAATTTTAGACTTATCCCACCCAATTGTATGGTTGGTTAGGCAAGTATGCTCCGATAAAGCTGAATTTTCCTTTTTGCAAAGAAAAACCGCTTTTTGGTGCTCTTTTAACCGTGTACCAAACTGGCGTTTGGTCTGTCCGACGTATTCGTTGTCACAGTCATTGCAAGGAATGGAATAAATGGCGTCGGTTCGTTGTTCTTTCGTGACAGGATCCTTAGGTTTGGCGAAAATATGCCCCAAAGTCTGAAAAGGTTTTTGAGCAACTTTAACGTTGTGGCTATTCAAAATTCTCTTGATGGGTTCAGTAACACCCTGTATGTAAGGAATAACAGCAAAACCAGTCGCTGGTTACTTAACTTACTTACTATAATCTTTAATGAGGATGCCAGCGTCACAAAAGTGGTTTACAGGAGGGTCCTCTTAAATTAAATACTAATACAAAGATAAATTACAAATAAAAAACAAATAACTAAAACTAAATCTAAGAACTAATTAAAAATACTAATCACAAAGTATTAACTAAGAGTAATACTAGTAAGGTAAATTAAAATTCAAAATTAAATTTAGACAGGCCACGTTTGAAGGCAGGCAGTGAGTTTGCATTTCTTAGTGAGATGTCTAAACCATTCCATACATCTGCGCTAAAGTTAACTGACGACCAATGACCCCATCTTCTTGTGGCACTGGATTTTCGAACGTCATTTCTCGATCTTGTATTGTAACCATGAAAGTCCCGATTAAATGTGACAGGAATAGTATTACATGAATGGTTGTTAATTAATTTATACATAAAGATGGCATGGTGTTCTTTTCTACGACGCAGTAATGGTTTCCAGCCAAGTCTCTTTAGGGCCTCAGTTGCGGAAAAATAAACAGGTAAGTCTAAAATGAGGCGAGCGGCCTTATTCTGCAACACTTGCAGCTCAGACATTAAGGACGCATTTCCGCGATCTCCCAGATGATATCCCCATAGTCAAAAATAGGTAAAATGAAACTATTGAAAAACATAATTCTAGCGTTGAGGGGGAGGCAAGATTTAATACGCCTTAAAAGACCTAACTTTCTACTGACCTTACTACGAATATAATCAATGTGGTCAGTCCAGGAGAAGTGGTTATTAATCACAATGCCTAGGTAAGTAAAAAAAGAATCTACGTTATCGAGAGGGGTATCATCAGCCGAAATAAGTATGGACTCAACTTTGTTCAAGGGAACTACTACCGATAAGCAAAAATTTGGATTTTTGAACATTCAGAGTCAGTTGGTTTGCCCGAAG